AGTAGAGTATGGCAGTTTGGGCAAGCGCATAAGAGCTTGGCAGAGAAGACCAGCCACGTGAACCACAGCAGTCAGGGTAACATACCCCTCGTAAATACAGCTTATGTCTGTGTCTTAAATATGTGAGCTATCTACCTCAAGAGGCTGTGTCACTTCCTCCTTTGGAGTGTCTGCCAACCCTCTAACCCCAGGACGGGGTTTAACACCCAGGAGGAGGGGAACAAGGAAAAGACATTCAGCATGGGTCAGACAGGGTGGGGTGTATCACTCAGGGTCCTGGCGGAAAACAGATGGCACACTCAGAAAGACCTTTTTAAGAGACTTTTTAATGAAAAAAAAATATATTTACAGAGGTGCAAGTAAGTACTCATGACAGCAGAAAGGCATTAGCATTCCTAGCAGTGAAGCAGCAGGGTGAGGAAATGGCATTCCCTGACACCAGTTAGGAAATGGAGCTGTGGAACCAGTTCCACCAGGCAGAAGCAACTGTCATGGAAGAACACAGCCATTGCTACTCCATGTTGCACTAATTATCTATGGCTTCATAACAAATTATTCCAAAACCTAACAGCTTCAAATAACATCACTTCTTACCTCACAATTGCTGTGGACCAGGAGTCTAACTGTAGCTTAGCTGGTCCTCTGCTCAGAGTCTCTGACAAGGCATGATGAAGATATCATCAAGACTGCAGTCACCTCAAGACTCAACTACAGAAGGATCCACTTCCAGACTCAATCACATGATTGTTGGTAAGATTTAGTTTCTCATAGACTGTTGGACTGAGGGCCTTTGTTTCTCCCTGGCTGCAGGCTATGCTTCCCACGTGGGCCTCTCCACAGAGCAGCTCATGCCATGGCAGCTCACTTCATCAGGGTGAAAAAGCTGAGAAGACCCAGAGGAAGAGAGAGAGAGAGTGTGTGTGTGTGTGTGTGTGTGCGCATGTATAAGCAAGACAGAGGTCATGGTCTTTTATAACCTAATCTCAGAAATGACATCCTATAACTTTTGCCATTTTCTATTTGTCAGAAGCGAATCACTAGGTCCAGTCCATGCTTGGCAGAGAGTGTTACACAAGGGAATGAATACCAGGAGGTGAGGATCTTTGGGAACCATCTTAGAAGTCTACCTACCAAGGCACCTACCTGCTACACTTGCGAAAGCAGGGAGAGAACAGAAGGAACAAATGCCTCGACCTCTCTCTCTTCCCATTCTGACCTCCCACTGGTGTCTCCCATTGGCCAAACTCAAGTAGACACTAGAGGACAAGAGAGCCCAGTTGATGTACCCAACAAAGGTCATCCTTCCAGCCCAGTGCAGAGATGGGCAGAGAATAAATCTGAAGCAGGGAGGGGAGCAAAGAACGATGAATAGAGAATAACCAGAACATGAGAAAAGACACATGGGCAACTGACAGGGTCATCATGGCGGTCAGATACCCTAGGAGACGAGACATCACAGAAGACAGCTCTTCACCTAGATACATGAGATGTATCTCTTTTCTTTAATATCTGTATCCAATTCTTTTCCAGGCCCTATACTTTGGGGTAATATTTCACCTGGGCCCTGTTACAAGGTGACAGGGCATTAAAGCATCTGCCTTCTGCTCAGGTCGTGATCCTGGAGTCCGGGGATCGAGTCCCACATTGGGCTCCCTGCTCAGTGGGGAGCCTGTTTCTCCCTCTGCCTCTGCCTGCCATTCCCCCTACCTGTGCTCACTCTCTGTCGAATAAATAAGTTAAAAAAAAATGTTTTTCTGTAACAAATGTCTCACTCCCATTTATGTCAATACCTGCCTCTTTAATTCATGAGGCCAAGGGGAGGATTAGGAGAAGAAAAGGGCTGAGCAGTGACATTTGGAAAGACCCTGCTCTGTGACAGCTCTAGTGTTGATGCCAAAGTTCTAATTTCCTCTTAGAAAACTTGTGTAAATATCATGGTTTGCTCCTGCTGGATTTTTTGATGTGCTCATGGAGACTGTTTGGGATCTAGAGTCAGAGCCTCTCCTACTATGGTGTATACACGGACACACAAACACATGCACATACAACCCAGGGCACTGATGTAGTCAAAACTCTCTCCTGACCTTCAAGATCTCCCCATCAAGTTAAGGCCACCACCATCTTCAAGGCTCCCAGGCCTGGACCCTTAGGCAGGCAGTCAATGCCAAGTCCTATTCCTCCATTAATTCAATGCATCCCTCTTCTTCACCTACTGGCCACCATTAGATGCCATATAAATCTTAAATATCAAATCACACAGGGAGGTAGTGGGCGAGCAGTTAATTTAACCCTGTTCCCACTCACCATGTCTGGAGCAGATCAGCTTCCTGAATGTGACGGTCATCTTACCTGGAGGTTAAGGATGGGTGAAATGTGGGTTAAGGATAGCCCAAAAGGACCCACTCCTCATGCCTGTAATGTCCCACCTGATCAGTTTTCTCTTCCTTTATCTAATGAGGAGACTAATGCTCTGAACCCAGGCAGCCAAGCACCATCATGTTATAAACTTCCTGATACCCCCTTTCCACACCAATCTCCAGAGTAGCCTTGAGGCAGAAAAGCCTGGAGAACAACCTGGGGCTTGGTGAAAGCCAACACCGAGCAAATGGAGAATCACAAACTGGTATCCAGGACCCTATTCTCTTCTCACCAGCCCCCCAAATGGCTCCTGTTTCTCCATGATTCCATTCTATTTAGCATTTAACACCAGCCTGAGCCAAACCTACCCAGAAAGATGAGCCCTCTGCAAACTACAAGTATCCCACACATCTGCATAGAAATTTATTGTCTAAAAAATGCTTTGCCGTGTATTATCTTAATCTCCATCACTGTCCTCTACATAGGAGCCATAACTCCTAGATGACAAAGGAAAACCCGAAAGTCTTTCAGTATATAACAGTGTACTGCCCTATGTATATGACAAACCCAGAACTCAAGGTCTGGGCCTTTTGAATCCTAGCTCAAGGAAGGAAGAAATCCCAAGTCAAAGAGAATTATCTGCTTTTCTTGATTGTTGACACCATGGATCAGCTCCCCTACTGAAGGGAGAACCAAGTTCCAACTTCAGTGAACTACCATGGTCCTGTAATCAGAAGATCCTCTCAGAAATGTGGGCTCCCATCAGTTGGACCTGAAGATAGACATTGACAGGGGCCCATGTGGAGTTTGGGGAGTTCCTCCTAGGGGATAGATAATAACTTCAAGAGCAGGAAACAACTCGAGAGAAGTCATTCATGCCTCCAAAGCCATCCCCTCAAGAGGAGAAAGGAGCCATGAACTCAGTCCCCAAATGTTCTGAGTGTGGCCTCCCAGGGAAGGAAACTCACTTAGTGTGGGGAAACCTTCAAGCCTCTGCACTAAGTCCTGTGCAGATCAAGGCAAGGGGTAGACAACATGATCTTCCAAACCCCCAACCTCCTCCTGGGGTGATGCCAGTCCTACCAATACCCTCAACAGACACATTCCAGGATCTCCCCAAACAAAACTTTTTCTGCCTCTGGTCCCTGAGATCCCAGAGATTGAAACCATAGGGCGAGTGGGATGAAGAAGAAAAGAGGGAGGAAAGGGATGGCTGGAAGTCAGTCAGGAAAGGACCTCCCAGCAAGGATGCCAGGCATCAGCCAGCCCCAGCTAGCCCTTGTTGACTTAGCGAGTGACAGTTTCGGGAAGAAGAGGAGGAGGACACGGAAGTCACACCCCTCCAAACTTGATTCCCATTGGCCCTTGGTATCCTTAAAAGGGCCCAGCAGTATCAGCACTGGTATTCCCGGACCCTCTGAGGATTCTGTGGTTATACTCACTTCTCATCCCACAGCATGAGATTCTCGGCTCTCCTCTTCCTAGCAGCTCTGGCTGGAGCCTTGGTCTATGCCAGTGAGTATGGCCCTCCCCCTGCACCCCACCCAAACCCTGACAGTCCCAGGCTTATCTCCACTCTTCATTCCTCTCTTTCTCTCCCAGTGCTGTCCTGGTTCCTCCTGCCTCTGCAAGTAACTCCTCCCCCCAGTTCTCCACACGTAGCCTCTTTACCCCATTGGTCGGGGAGCAGGAATCCCCTGGCCGTGCCTGGTCTCCCGGCTCATCCCCTCACACACCATCCTTTACCCACTATGCTCTAACCACATTGGCCTTCTTGCAGGGCTTCTGGGCCACCGAATATAGCTGGGCAGGTTGTCCCCAGCACAAGGGTGCCAGGCAGGGAGTAGTGGAGGCTAAAATTTAGCCCACACTCCACTTGCTAAGTGGAATGGCCTGCCAGTGGCCTTGTCTCTCAGGATGCCTCTTCCTGAAAAGAGCCAAAAAGGCACTATTCAGGCCAGGACAGCCCTGCTGCTCCACGAACACTGGGACCTTCCTTCTTGCTCTTCCCTCTGCCTGGAACTCTTTTCCTCTCCCTGTCCCCTTCCCCCAGCCAACCCAGAATGTCACCTGTCCAACGCTTTCTCATCTGTCAAATCTCAGTTTAGATATCAATTCTTCAAAAAAGAACATGGAGGAAAAATTAGACCCCTTATCACACCACGCTGGACTTGCCCTTCCAGCACCATCACACCATGACTTGAGAATTATGTACTGGAATGGACGCTGGGTCAGGGCGGGGTCTTTCCACTTCCTCATCACTGAATCCCTTCCACTTAGCAGAGAGCTAAACATCATGTTGAAAGAATAAAGAGAATGAGGGCTGGGATCTAATCCCAGAAATCATTCAGGCATGGCCCATGGCCCGTGCACTGTCCCCTTCTGCCACAGAAGAGCCTGAGCCCCTCCAACCACAGCTGGTTCCCCAGCGGGGATCTCAGAACACCCTCACAAGCCAGGGGTAATGTCGGGGAGGGCAGTTCTCAGAGAATGTTACACTTCTCCCAGGAGAACCTGCTTCAAACAGCTGTAGGAGGGGTTAAACACCAGACAGACGGCCCTGGCGGATCTACCAATGAGGCAGAAGGGCACATTTAACCAATAGGGAAATGGGTCTCCCTGTGTCCACAAATGCCCCTGAGAGCTGAGGCTAAGGAGTGGGAGGTAGGAGGGCTCACAGGGGTCAGGTTCAGTCCTCACTGTCGCCTCTTTCTTCCACTGCAGAAAGTGCTTCCTCTGATCCCACCCCGGGGGCTGCGGCCAGTGAGTCCTTCCCTCCCTCCTGTCCCTGCCTTCAAGGGGAGAGGCTGACAGCAGGGGATGGGGGTAGAGACTGGGAGAGGAAGTAGGGGGCGGGATTGTGTCCTGCTCTTGGTGATAATGGATTGGGGTGGGACAAGCCTAAGGATGAAATGGAACAACCCAGGCATGCAAAATCAATAGCAAGAATGGGAAAGTTGTGAATAAAAGGGAGAAAAAGATGAGGTTAAATGATAAGGGAAATTTCCCATGTGGTATTAATACCTTCACCTGCACACTCCCGACTCCTTAGCAAGGTGCCCACTATTCAGCCTCAGACATCATTTCTAACCCTGTTTTCCATGCTTCTCCTTCATGTACCGCCCACATCAGCTAAATTGAACTGGTTTGCATTCCCCACACCTGTCCCATACATTCCTCGCCCTGAGTCCTGGCTGACTGACTTCCTACCCCCAATGAAGCTCCTTTAGAATATCCCTCCTGCCAAATTCCTGCCCTTCAAGACCCAGCTTCTCTCTGACATGCTCTCTGATTCCACCTAAATATCCTAGCCCAAATCTCTCCCCAACCCTACCCATTAGAAGTGCCCAACCCTGCCCACCTTCCAAGAGGCACTGTCTTAGTCCATCTGGGCTGTACAACAAATCACCATAGACTGGATAGCTTAAACAACAGAAATTTATTTCTCACAGTTCTGGAGGCTGGAGGTCCAAGATCAAGGTGCCAGCATGCTTGAGTTCTAGTAAGGACCCTCTTCCTGGTGACAGACTGCTAACTTTTCATTATATCCTCACATGGCAGAAAGAGCCATGGAGTCTCTTTTATAAGGGCACTAACCTCATTCATGAGCGCTCCACCTTCATGACCTCATCACCTCCCAGGGCCCACACCCTAGGACCATCATATCGACGGGTTAGGATTTCAATATATGAATTTGGAGGGGGAGAACATTCAGTCCATAACAGGCACTTGTGTGTAGAAATCTTATCACTTCTGGGTCCTGGCACCCAGCACGTATTAGGTAACCCAGGGCCCTGCCACTCGTTCCAAAAATAAAAAACACTTTGACTTTGCTAAAATCAACCAACTGGTGTGTTTGTAGCTGAACCTGAAGGGACTACATCTGCTGCAAAACCTGCTTCACCCCAAGAGCCAGCCCAGGAGCCACATGGTGCCACCCCAAGTCCAGAAGAGCTAAACCCACTGAGTAAGTCTCTGTCTCTATGCCAGATAACAACCCAGAGAAGTCTCTGGTGGCAGGCCTCCATGACGCTTCCACCCACAGAGACGAGCCCGGGGAGAAACACATATTCATTCACCTGAGCACGAAGGCACAAACGGGGGTGCACACCGCACCCACACACGGAGCTTCTGCCACGGAGGATTTTGCTGCCTGTGTGGTTTCTTTCCTGACCCTCCTATAAGAGGGCCTTCCTATAAGAAAGAAGCTGGGCCCCTCAGCAAAACTTCTTCACTTGAGGAATTTGTATCGGGACAATGTCTGGTGAGGGGTGGGAGGGGGAGGTGGGAGTTTTCTTGAAAGTGATGTGACTTTTCTGCTACTGTGATTGTTCTGCTCCAAAATTAGAATCCCTGACAAACAAAAGTCTCTTGGTCACAGGACATGGCTTAGAAAGAGCAAAAAAAGCAATGCATAAAAGACTTCAGTTTAGAGGACGTCTTTATGAGGGTGAGTGCATCCCAAGGCAAAGCCTTGTGGGAACAGGAATACTCACCATCCATCATCCAGGGGCAAGAGGTGGGCAGGAACACCTGACTCCACCCCACACAGGACACCTGCAACCACCACAGCCCCTCCCCTCCCCTTGAACCTTTCCTCCTTCAAATGTCTCCATTTGTGCCTTTAAATGTCTCCCAATTTCTCACCCACACTCAAACCACATGGTTGCCTGATACTAGATTGCCCCTGCGGTCTAAGCCCCAGCCTTCTCACTGCAGAGCCTGCCCAGGTGGGGAAGGGGCATGTCCCACAGCCTTTGGTGAATCTATGAATCTAACCTCCCTCCATCCCTCCAACTTCTGTGCAAGGCCCTCCAGGGGCTGGGCGAGGTTGGAAAGCAGAAGACAGAGTTGAGGGGGATGGACAGGGTGGGGCTGGTGCCTGGAGCCCATGAACCTCATTCTCACCTCTGCTTCCTTCTAGATGTAGCTGAATGGGACAAAAATCTGAAAAACTTGGCTGCAAAACTCAATGTAGTTGCAGTCTGAGAAGCTGAAAAGAATGGGGTCCCTGGACTCAAAGCCTTAAACATGCTTGCAGCCCAGCATGATTAAACTGAAGCATCCAACTCGCTGTGTGTCTGTGTTCTGTGGGGTGGGTCCTGGAGGAGATGGAGAGCAAAGCCCTACCTAGAAAGCCAAGAGGCCCTGGGTGTCCTGACCCGGGCCCTCGGCCAGTCACAGCCTGCCCTGAGGATACAGCCTCTAACAAGCCCTTTTATTCACACTGAGCCACCGCCCCACGTGCTGGGCCTCCTTCTACTGCAAATGCCACTCCGGTTCTGGCCTAATCCTTCACATACAGTGCCTAGTGACATTTTAGCGTTTCCAAAAATTAAATCAACCTCCAAAGAACCAGGATTTGTCATCCCCAAAATAGTCAAAGCCTGAGTCATTCTATTAAAGCCATTTTCTGGTGCCCTTAATAAGAATTCATCCCTCCTGCCTTCCATTCACACTTCCTACACTGGGCCAAAGGGAATGGCAGTGGTTAATTAGATCAGATCAGTAAAATAATGAGCCACTGCAATGATAGCCGGCACTTGACTAGAATTAGATCCAGGGAGGATGCTGACACAGTGGGTCCCATAGTGACAGCTCATGGGCAGAGCTGACAACGTACTTCTCTAAGGGACATGATATACTCAGAAGAGCAAAATCAAGAACACCTTGTTTGTAACCAGATCTGCCATATGTATACTTTCTGCTCCACAAAAGGAAAACATAATTGAAGACAGCGATCCTTAAAAAGAGAAGAAAACTGGAATCTGGCTGGGAGGAGGGGGAAACCAGGAGCTGTTTAGTGGGTATAGAGTTTCAGTTTTGCAAGATGAACAAGTTCTGGACATTGGTTGCACAACTACCAGTGAAAATACTTCAAACCAGTGAACTGTAGAGTGAAAGTGGTTTCTATGGTAAATTCTATGTTGTGGGTATTTTACCACAGTTAAAAATTAAAATTAAAAGTAGAAAACTTTAATCTATAGGTTGAAAGGAAAAAGTGATTCAAAAAGATCAACGCTGGGGCGCCTGGGTGGCTCAGTCAGTTAAACGGCTGCCTTCAGCTCAGGTCATAATCTCGGGGTCCTGGGACTGAGCCCTAAATTGGGCTTCCTGCTCAGCTGGGAGCCTGCTTCTCCCTCTCCCTCTGCCCTCACCCCCTGCTCCTGCTCGTTCACTCTCTCTCTCTCTTCTCTCAAATAAATAAATAAAATTAAGTTAAATTAAAAAAGACCAATGCTGAGAACTGGCCTAATAAAATTCCTTATCTTCGAAGACAAAGAAAGGGTCATTGGGCATTTAGGCAAAACTATCAACACATTTACTGAGGGGAAAAAACTATTCAGGTTGCCTCCAGACTACACCACCAAAAGACAGTGAAGAAATCTCTAAAGTCCTCTGGGAGAAGAAAAGTGAGACCCAAATACTTTGTACTAAATCAAACTATTTTACCAGGCTAAAGGCAACAGACAAATATTTCCAGCATGCCAAATTCAGGGAATTTCATTCCTATGAACCCTTTTCAAAAACACTATTAGACATAAACTCTAGCCAGCCAAGAGATAAACAGAGAAAATGAGGTAAAAGGATTAGCTGTGAGTGCTAAATCCATTTCAGTGCAAGAAAAAAAGCTAAAGTTGTTGCAGGAATTATGATTACAGGGCAGAAGGTAAGTGTTAAGAACTATGAGTATGTAACCAAAGATCAGCGTGGGGATGAGGGGGTAGAAAAGCAAACAGGAGTTAATATAAATAAGCTGATGTGAGCAACTTTTGTAGTTAGAGTATCAAAAACTATTTTTAACCTGCTAAAGCAAGTAACAAAAGTATAAAGGAAATTACTAGAGGAAGTAATAAGTCCATAATCCATGAAAATCAGATGGTCAAGAGAAAGGGAGAAAGTAGAAATACACTATTTTAATTATTGCTAGTAGGGGGAATCAACTCTACATAACACAGAATTGAGTACATCATTTGAAGTTATGGTTATAAAGATAATCAATAGAACCATAACCAAACTATGAATCTTTTATGTTATCAGAAGTACTTCACATAAAAGAGAAAAAAGAAACACAGATCACATAGCAAAATATGAATGATAAAATATTGTAAGATGGAAGGACAGCATGAAGAAGATAAAACTAGGACCAAACACACCTCTCATATGAATAAATTTAAAAAGCACACATTCATGCATTAAAAGCAAAAGATTCTCGGATTGGACCACAAAGCAAAACTAAACTGTAAACAATGAATTAAAAGATAAATCAATAACAACGTAACTGCTTCATTTTGTCTTCCTCTCAGCCTGCCCCATTGCTGACTTCCTCCCTGAATAATTCAGTAGGAGCACCAGCAGGCAGAGCCCAGCAGGGTAGGTATCCACCCCGGCAGGGCAGGGCAGGGCAGGGCAGGGCAGGGGGATTTCTGGGAAGCCGGAGCTCGGTGTTGGAAGTGTAGAGAGATGAGGAGGGTGTCTGACGCCCAGGGGCAGCAGGGGCAAGAGGGAAAATAGCGGCCTGGCGTGGGGTATCAGAGCCCAAGCAGCATGGGGAGGGGGCTCTACCCATAGCAGGGTGAGTGGGCCTGAACTGTCTGGTGCCAGACTGAAATGGGACGTAACAATAAGAACTCATGGTTTTCAGGGGCTCCTGGGTGGCTCAGTCGGCCGAGCATCGGACTCTTAGTTTTGGCCCAGGTTATGATCTCCTGGGTCATGAGATGGAGCCCCGCAGCGGGTTCTGTGCTGAGTGGGGAGTCAGCTTGGGATTCTCTCCCTCTACCCCACTCATGTGTGCACATGTGCACTCTATCCCTCTCTCTCAAATAAATCTTTTAATAAAAAAGAACTCACAGTTTTCAGTATATATAAATAGATGTAGAAATACATCTAGATGTAAACGTTGCATGTGTTACTTATTTGTACAAATGCACATACATACACACATACACGTGTACGTATGTACATACATACCTACGTATATTCCCAGCTGTGACCATGGAAGGGCCTGGAAGCAGCGACATCTCAAGAACCATGAGCACACCTAGAGCCCATATCCTTGCATCTAAATACCAGTAAGAGAGCAGAGGTCCTTGGAGAAATGGCTGATACCAGGCGGGGCTAGAGCAAAGAACATGATGAGTCTGGAATGCTTTGTTGTGCCAGAAGGAACAAAAAGCGCTCAAAGAATGACGGAGACATGACAAAAGAATACGGGAGCTGACCAGAAGGCCCACTTACCCCCACCACTGCCCGCTTGTCTCAGGCTAACCACGTTCCATGGAAAAGAAAAAGATTATAAAAGATTATAATAATAATTAATAATGATAGTAACACAATTATAATTCATTGACTAAAGAGGAAGTCATGAGTCCATATTGATAGAAATAAATTAATGAATAAATGGAGAAGTGAGAAAAAATTTTCCTAACAGCAGAACGACAGCTAATGAACATAGTGGGAATGATTGAACTAGAAAAATCACTATTTGGCAGCCACAGGAATCAATAATTCAGCCAGGAAGCATGAATGAGGGCTAAAACTAATTGGTAGAAGTTTGATGAGGAACAGGATACTTACATAGCCTCAAAGTACCTTCCAACAAAATATATATTAATTACAAAGAGGGAAAAGAGTGGGTGGCTCACTTGGTTAAGCATCTGCCTTCTGCTCCGATCCTGATCCCGGGGTTCTGGGAACAAGCCCCTCTTGTGGCTCCCTGCTCAGCGAAGAGTCTGCTTCTCCCTCTCCTTCTCCCTCTGCCTCTCCCTACTGCTCATGCTCTTTCTCTCTCTCTCCCTCTCTCTCAAATAAATACATAAAATCTTTTTAAAAACCTGGGTGGCTCAGTTGGTTAAGCGACTGCCTTCGGCTCAGGTCATGATCCTGGAGTCCCGGGATCGAGTCCCGCATCAGGCTCCCTGCTCGGCAGGGAGCCTGCTTCTCCCTCTGACCCTCCTCCCTCTCATGTTCTCTGTCTCTCATTCTCTCTCTCTCAAATAAATAAATAAAATCTTTAAAAAAAAAAAAAGCGGGGGGAGAGTAATCCACAGTGGATTACTGTGGATTACTGGCAGACATCACGTTAATCAGTGATGATCAAGCAAAGTTAACACCACAAAAATGGAACAAATCAAAATTATGAACCACCTGATAGAATATACTATGAAAAATACAGTATGACTTCCTGATATTCTTGCCAAAAAAGCAGAACCTCGATCTAATCATGAGGAAGCATCAGATGAACCCAAACTGGGGGACATTCTACACAAGGGGGCCTCTACGGTGCTGAAGAGGAAAAGCCACAAAAGTCAAGGAAAGACTAAGGAACTGTGACAATGACATTCCATACGTAATCTTGGACTGGATCCTAGTGTCATACGGGACATTGCTGGGACATCTGGCAACATTTAAATGGGGCCTGTGAATCAGACGGCGATAGGGCATCAACAGTGGAGTGGACATCGTGTGTGTGGTTGGAGGGAGGTGGGTAGGGGCCTGAAGAGGAGAGGGAAGGAGCATGCCCAGAGCCCCGTGGGGGGAGGGGGGGATGCTGCTCAGGAGGCATCCTGGTAACTGCCGCTCTCACAGACCCCCAGCCCAGCGCGCCAGGCCTTCTGGGGCTCGTGGGCAACATTCTCGAGGCCCCATCTCCCAGATGGAAAGGTTTCCCACAGGCTGCCCAGGCAGAGCCAAGTCTGGCTCAGACCTTCCTACAGAGAAACTGGACCCTGAAGAAGGGAAGAACGGCCTCACTCAGGAAGAACGGCTGGAGCCTGACTGAGAAGCAGGACAGACGCTGCTCTCCCTCCCTGTACGCTCCAGGGTGCCCTGGAAGTAAGATCTTTCTGCCCTTAGCTGCCCCTTGCTGATTCCCCCCTGAATCCCCTCCTTCTCCGCCTCCATTGTGGATCCCTCCCTCTGGCTCTGTTACCCTCTGAGCAACCCTGGCAATGGCCCTATTCTCCTCTCTGTTCTAGTAACAGACCCCTGCTGCCCCTGGGGATGAGATGCAGGCTGGGAGGTGTTTACGGGCAGAAACATTGATTTCCCAGGATAGTCAATGGGTGTGGGAGAAACAGCACAGAATATGTAAAACGGAGCCCCACTGGGAAAGCAAGGGCTGATGGTTGCCGTCCTGTGAGCCACGGTGGGAAGAGCACGGAAATCAGAGCCAAACAGATCCGGATTCAAATCCCAGTCATGCCAGGTGACATCTCTATCACCTTGCTAAATCTGGTTAACCTCCCTGAGCCTCAGGATCCCAGTCTGCCATCCATACCACCCTGCAGATCAGTGGGAGAATTAAATTCATTGTGTGCCTGGCTCAAGGTCAGATCTCACAGAATGTGAGTCTCCTCCTCCTTCTCTCCAACCTACAACATTCCAGCCAGCAACCACCATAATAATCACACAAATACACACACACACACACACTCAAAACAAGACTCCCTGCCTTCCAAAATTCTTCTCAGAAAGAAAAATTTGAGCTTTGGTCTAGAAGCCATTCTGTCAGCCAAAGGGAGTGTGTCCCTCAACACCGCTGCATCAGAAATGCCCTGGACACTGATTTCAAAACGCAGATTCCTGGGCCGCATCCCAGACCTGCTAAGTGGAGGGGGAGGGAGTTTCCCAGCTGATCCTGGGGTACCCTGAGGTTCAAGACTAACCAGCCTGATGCTGTACCCCCTCTTTTAATGATCATCCTGGTGATCCTCAGACATCCCTGTGGACCTTTCTTCTCTTTGTTGAGGAGAATGAGGCCCAGAGAGCGGAGCAGCTGCTGAAGGCCCACAGGCAGGTGATGACCGACTGGAATTTGAATGCAGGTGTCCTAACTAAAAGTTAATGGTTTTTTTAATGAAATAGGCTTTTTCAGGTTAATAAGACTCACTCAGGTTACAGCCAGTGACGTGAAGGGGAAGAAAGGAAGATCAGGAAAGCATCTCGGCAGGCCTCATGGGGTGCCCCAGCAGCAGCCATCCTGCTGTAACTTCAGGCCCCCCAAGCATGAGTGCTGACCTCTCTCTGTCTCTTTGGCATCTCTGTCCTCCTCTCCTCCTCTGCATCTATAGTTTTTACATCTTGGTGAGTTTTCCTTCTTTCCGTCTCACATTCCAAATTCACTGAGAGGCAGCTCATTGACTTATTTGGAAGCATCCAATAGGGAGGACCAGAGGACCAGGCCTCCACAGAAGCCACTGGGCTTCCTTACACCCAGCCTGTTGGTGATTACCTCCAGATAAGACCCTGACTTCCTCACCAAACAGGAGTGGCCAGAGTAACAGGACCGTCTGCCCAAGGTCTGGAACTTGTGTGCAGAGAACCGTTGTGACCTCTCTCCTCAGAAGGGAGCTACATGCATGGCCCTTGGACACCTCTGTCATCCATCTTTCCCCTACGCCAGAATCCTTAACTGAGAACACAGGATGAGGCTGGGCTCTTGGAGGGACAGATGGTGGAGTCTGGAGGCTGGTCTGGAGCCCCGGGGTAAGATTGCCATATCTAGCAAATAAAATACAGAACACCAGTTAAATGTGAATTTCAGATAAACAACAAGCAAATTTTTAGTATAAGTATGTACTATTTAATATTTGAGACATACTTACGCTAAAAAAAATTATTCACTGCTTATCTGAAAATCACATGTAACCGAGTGGCTTGCATTTTTGTCTGGCAACCCTACCTGGGAGAGCAGGGACGAGGTCTGTTTTGCCCAGTGTTGCAGCTCCACGACCTAGTTCATGCCTGGTATGTGGTAGACACTCAGTACATTCTTCTGAAATATTTAATTGCTGAAGAAGGCCTCTCAGAGGTCCCTCCCTCCCCACTAAAAGTAAATATATCCCCAAGGGGCCAGCTTTGAACACAGAAATGGACTCATTCAATTTACTAGACTGGAGCACTTAGCTAGTGTGAAGATCTGCGCTAAATAAATTGGAATACAGAGATAAATAACCTATAAATCTTGTCCTCAAGATGGTAATTAACCAGTAGGAGCAATAGATCTGAACAGAGAATTACAATAGCGTATGATAAATGCTAGACAATGTCCCCGGAGGCCAACGCCAGGTAGATTGGGCTCACCGTCTTATCTTCAAAACTTGCAACCTGGCAGGCCCTTGATAAATAGCAGCACAATGGAAAAATGAAAAGATGGAGATAGGAACAGTGTACTGCAGGGCCACAGAGGTGAGGTGACCAACTGAGGGAGGCTCAAGGGTGAGCCAGTTGGGTTCACTCCAGGGAGGAGATGACAGCGGATGTGGATCGTGGGAAGGCAGCAGACAGAGAGGAAAGAGGCTTCCCAAGCCAGGAACAGCATGAACACACAGAGTACTTCAGGGAGTCATTCACAGGGTGAGAGATGAGGCCAGAAAGGTAAGCCTGGAACACATGGCCGAGGGGGTTGGGCTTTATCCTAGGGGTGATTCTAAAATCCAAAAAGTCCTTAAAGACTTTTTTGAGGCGAGCCATGGCCTGCATGTCAGAAGATCCCCCCAGCATTAGCATGGAGGGTGGACAGCAGTGGAGACAGACTGGAGGCCAGAGTCCAGTGAGAAACTACTGAAGTAACCTAGTATGCAAACGACAGAGGCCCAAACTTATGGGTTACAGGGGATATTGGGAAATACGCCTGCAGGGCTAAACCACGTCCTCAAGGACTCGCTGTGAATGGCCCCATCTGTCCCCGCCCTGTTCCTAAGTGCCCTGGGCGGTGGGTGGGGAGGCTGCCGCTGAGAGGGGGAACTGGGGAGGGAGGGGAGGTGGGAGGCGGCCCAAGAGAAACTTCCTTCACTTCACGGGCTTGCCTAAGGAGAGAGAGGGGTGAGAGCGATTGGAGGATGACCACCAGCCCCTAGGCTCTTCCCTGCGGCAGCTGCCCGAGGGAGAAGGCCTCCCCTTGGTGACAGAGTGCTGTCTCACTGTGGGCTACAGGTGGGGTCTTACCCTCACTGGGGCCCCGTGCCCAGCAAGCTGTGCTCCCTGTTGAGGACAGGAGGTTCAGTCTCGGGGTGCAGCAGCCCCCTCCTTCCTGGAGAGGATCCCAAAACATGTCCCGGAGAGATCATCAAAAATTCCAACCTGATATTTACCCAAAGAATACAAAAATACTAATTCAAAGGGACACATGCACCCCGATGTTTACAGCAACATTATCAACAATAGCCAAGTTATGGAAACAGCCCAAGCGTCCCTCCACTGATGAATGGATAAAGAAGATGTGATGTATATCTACAATGGAATATTAGCCACCGAAAAGAATGAAATCTTGCCATTTGCAACAACATGGATGGAGCTAGAGGGTATTATGCTACACGAAATAAGTCAGTCAGAGAAAGACAAATACCATATGGTTTTACTCATGTGTGGAATTTAAGAAACAAAACAAGCAAAGGGGGAAAAAAGAGAGAGCGAGGCAAACCAAGAAACAGACTCTTTTTTTTAAAGATGTATTTTATTTGAGAGAGCGAGCTTGCGTGTGAGCAGGGGGAGGGGCCGTGGGAGAGGGAGAAGCAGAGAAGCCAACTCCCTGCTGAGCGCAGAGCCTGACGGGGTGGGGGGCTGAGATCAGGACCTGAGCCGAAATCAAGATGCTTAACCAAATGAGCCACCCACACATTCCCCAAGAAACAAACTCTGTACTATACGGAACACCCTGCTGGTTACCAGAGGCGAGGGGAGTGGGGGGTTGGGGGAAATAGGCGATGGGGATTAAGGAGGGCACTTGTGATGAGCACCAGCTGATGTATGGAGGTGTTGAATCACACCTGACACTTATATTACACTGTATGGTAACTAACTGGAACTTAAATAAAAACTTAAAAGAAAAAAATTCCAACCTGATAGGGGCACAGGAGACCAACTAACTCAGCCCTAGGTCCAGGACCAGCCCCAAGTCCTAGGTGCCTCCCCCACTGCCTCTCATGTGCCCCTTTGGGCAACTAACTCACTGCTCCATCTCACCCACTCCTGGAACCACCAGACCCTGCTTGTGGCAGGCAGAGTTTAGAGTTCGACTAACCTGGGTTCAAATCCACCCAGATTTGTGATCCTGTGCGAGTCACCTCACCTTTGTGAACATCACTTTCTCGGCTTGATAAATAACACATACCTCACAACCATGATGAATTAAATAAAATGTCCCACATGAACAAACTCAGGACAGTGCCTGCCATGTAGTCAGCATTCCTGTAACTGCCTCACTCTTTCATTCCCGAGCTGACGGGAAGTTTTATCTGTAGCCTAGCAGACGGCCTAACCTTTCCTTCGTTCATTCGCCCTACTACCGGATTCTGGTCGCCTTCTATGCCCCAGCTCCTTTCTAGGTGCTGGGAAAATAATGGCAAGCAAAAACCTAATCCCACCACCATGGAAGTTCCATTCTCCTGGAGTAGGTAGGTATTAATTAAGTGATCACACAAATAAAAATAAAATTATACCAATAATGAGTACCATGAAGGAGAGAAACTCACACCCACTTAGTTATTGCAAGGACTTCCCGAGATGGAGCCTGGGGCTGGCATACCTTTGGCATGGCCCAAGCCAGGGGAATGCTAGGGGCCTCACTTTCCTCTTAACTGGTTTCCCAGAAGACCCAGTTCCCAAAAACAAATGTATAGAATAGGGAACTTGGGAGGGGAAACCTGGAATGCCCCCAGATCCAATCCTGAACCAGGTTCCCCAGAGCCCTTCCCTACCCCCAAGATAAATAAAGGCCCTGCCAGGCTGCTCCCTCAGCAACGCTAAGCAGCCTCCCCAGGGCAGATAGATCCTGCTACAGCTCCACCATGAAATGCTTCGCCATCCTGCTGCTGGTCAGCTTAGCTTCCACCTCTCTCGCCATCCCTAATGGTGAGTCTGGCTTCTGTCACACTCTTTGTTGTCCTCAGAGGTCATCGAGCTGTCAGCTGGAGAGTCCTCAGCACTAGGATGAGCTCTCCTTAATCCTGTAATGTGCTGTGTGGAGACGTTTGGAGATGCATAACCAAAAGTGCACGCCTGGGTGGCCCAGGCGGTGGGGCGTCTGCCTTCAGCTCAGGTCATGATCTTAGGGTCCTGGGATCAAGCCCCGATTTGGGCTCCCTTCTCATGGAGAATCTGCTTCTTCCTCTTCCTCTGCCCCTCCCCCCTGCATGCTCTCTCTCTTCTCTCTCTCTCAAATAAATAAATAAAATCTTAAAAAAAAAGCGCACACCTGGGAGGACTGAGGTAGGAAGGCAGGGGACTAGGACGCATGACCCCAGGAATCCTGTACCCTAGAAAGCCTGGGGTTGGGGCCCAAGGAGCCCCCTGGACCCAAATCAAGGTGGACTGTGGGTCAACAGAGATTCAGATTAGATTCCCACCTCTGAGGATGCTGGACGCCTGCCTTCTTTGGGCCTCCCTGCCTCCCTCTGTAACAATGAGGCCAAGACATACGCACGCATTCATTTAGCTGCTATTTATTGAGCACCTACCCTGTCGCAGATACACAGCTCTAGGCACTTGGGCTACACGAACAAAATACAGAGACCTCGGTCATCATTGAGATTTCCTTCCAGGAGAAAGAAACAGAGAATCAGCATATTAAATAAACTGCATAGTGCGTTAGAAGTGCTAAGACCTAGAGCAGGATAAGGAAGGTGGACATGCTAGGGTGGGAGGGGGTACCTAGAAGCATCTCCCATGTTAAATGTCTTAAGACCCCTGGAGACTTTAACCTCTTCTTTTTCAGAGCAAGAAGATGAAATCCACTTGGAGCCTCAGCCCACACATGCCTATAAGTCTCATGTTGGCCACCTTCAGAGTAAGTTGGTGGTAGTAAAAGACTGTCCAGCAAATGATGAACTCTCCAACTGAGGAGGAAGCAGAGCAAAGGCATCCCTCCTGGTGCTGGACCTTAATCCTTTCCGCTGCACTAGTTGGCCAACACCTGGGGGCCAGGAACAATCTGAACAGCACTTCATGCTGCATAGTCATTGAAGATGGGCATAGGAACTACATCTCAAACCCAAATGCTAGCAGGTGGGGAGTGTCAGCTCACCCTGAAATGAGGAGGCTGGTGAACTTGCTAGAAGTAGAATTCCTATTCCATGGCATTCAAAATCAAGGATGTGCCTTTCAGGTGCTCATAGATTTGGATGCTGGCATGGGACCTCAATTCAGGTCTACACCGACTGGGTAATGACTCAGCGGTGACCCGCTCTGCATGTTAAGGGATATGGCAGAGCACCAGCTGGCTGTTTCTTACCGTGAGCTCTTTCCCTACCCCTCATTCCCTCTATGTCCTCAGTCCTAGCTACTCAGCTGATTCCTGAAAAGGACCATGTCTCCATTGAAAACTCTTCTGAGGAAACTCCCATCTCCAGCGAAGAGCTGGGTTTTGAAGAGGAAGATGTGATCAAATCTACCAGGAGACCAAAGAGTCAAAAGCTCGAGCTGCTTCACCCCATCCCCCAGGAGGCCAGTTTCAGAAACACTACCCCTCAGTCAGAAGAAACTACGGAATTCACTCCGAGGACTGGTAGGAGCCAGGGCCGAGGGGAAGAAGCTGGGAGGGAGGGCAATTAACAGAAAAAGGCAAGGGCCCGACACCCCCTTGGGGGGAAATGTTGGGGTTAGAAAGAATAAGGAAGGTACAAGAATTAAAGGTAAATGAGCCTCAAAGGACCCACTGACCGCCTGCAACAGCACCGTGGAAGGCCGCGGCTGGAGTGTGGGGGAGGCATGGGGGGCACTGGCCTCACCTTGACATTTCTTTCCCAATATTTCCCAGCAACCACCCCAGAGGGAACACTGGCCGAGCTCGGCCATAAAATCGGGAAGAATCTGGACAAGATCATGAAAGAGACCATGAACTATCTGAAAAGCCTACTCCCTCATGCCTATGAAGTCACGAGGCCCTAGTGACAAGGAGGCCCAATCCCAGGCTGGGCCAAAGCCGGTGTCCACAGCACCCACATTCTGCTCGCCCCGACCGCCAGCTCTCAGCCCCTCACATTCCTTATTAAAGCGTTGCATCCCCAGCTTGGCTCTCTGGTGGCTTTGTTGGGCCAGGAAGCAAGGCTGGAGGCCCCAACTCTACTAGGATGCTTCCTGAGTTACCCCGTCGCTCTAATTTTAAACCTCTCCTCAGCTTACAAACCTGTTCAAGTCTCCACATCCCAAAATATCCTCTGCGAGGTCTTGACTCCCCTCAAGCTGTCCCTCGTCCTCCTCATGCCCACTGCCTCCATGCTCCCTCACCCCCCTGCACTCCTCATCCCCCTGCCATCTGCCTTTTCACACCCGCCAGCCCCAAATCACCGACAGCAACAAGCCCGGTGGCTATTTCTGGTCCCTACTCTCCTGGCTATCTCTGCAGAACTGGACACAGTTACCCCTTCTAGAAACTTTCTCCTCACTGACCTTCCTATGTGCTATACTCGACTGGTTCTCCGAGCCCCCCATTCCTTTCCTGGCACATTTCCTGATTGTGCACTCTTCGTTCCCAGGGTCCCATCCCGTGCCCTCTTGTCTTCTCTCCGCCTTTCTTCCTCTACATCCCCATCTACAAGACTGCTGCTTCACCTCAGGGTGGGTGGCTCCCATTGACCCACTCACCAAACATCCACCAAGGGCCTACACACACCATACTCATCTCCCTCATGTGTGCCAAACTCCCCCCAACCCTGGCCAGTGTTCACTGTAAAGGCATATGGGACTCAGTGGAGAAAGAAGAGAATGGGAAAATAAGAATCTCTTTCTGTCTTTCAAATGGAAGGAAGACTGCCCATTCAAGAGGAGATAGGATAGCAGAAAGGAAACTGTGAGATAATAGGATATAGATATAATGGTCTCTGCTCCCCCCTTCCTGGCACAAAGCTTCAAAACCCTGTAATTTCCTAAGTGATAAGCACACTAGGAACATCCCTTGTTCTGACATGTGGTCTTTGACGCATCCCTGACACGAGGCTCCTAAGATGCCTTGTAGATTCCTAACTGATGAGAGCAAAAGGAGCATCTTTTGTTCTAATGAGGTGACTCCAGTGGGCTCTTGGGTGGCTCCTGGATGGGGGCTGGTCACCAGAAAGACCAAGCCATGATTAGAAGCTTGGAATTTTCAGCCACACCCCTCAATTCACTGGAGAGGGGAGAGGGGCTGGAAACAGTTAATAATTGATCATGCCTACATAATAAAGGCTCCATAAAATCCCAATACTGTGAGGTTTGGGGGTTATTTTTACTTTAATTCTATGAGGTTCTAAGAGCCTCCAGGTTGGTGAACACAACCAAACACCGAGAAGGTGACTTCCCCCAACGCACTGGGACAGAAGCACCTGCCCTCAGGATCCTCCCAAACTTTGCCCTAAGTATCTCTTCATCTGGCTGTTCATCTATATCCTTTATCATATCCTTTAATACACTGCGAAATGTAAGTGTTTCCCTGAGTTCCGTGAGCCACTCTGGCAAATTAATTAAACCCAAAGGAAGGGTCTCAGGAAGCTCTGATTTATAGCCGAAGCACAGGTGACAACCTAGACTTGCAAGTGGCAACTGAAGGGGGACAGTCTTGTGGGACTGAGCCCTTCCCTGTGGGACCTGACAGGGTCAGAGGGAAGCTGAATCAGGACACCTAGCCGGTGTCACGGAATTGCCTGGTGGGAGAAAACTCACACACGCTGGTAACCAGAAGTGTCCGAAGTGAAGTGTTCTGAGTGTGAATAAAGAAAGACAGGTGGGTGACTGAGTTTTCCCAATTCCGGAACCACCTCCAATATCTATTGTCCTACCCCCAGAACTTATAAAAAGATGTACTCAGAAGACCAACAGAGTGACTGAGCTACTGTAATGCAGGCCTGGCGCTGCCCCCAACCCAGGAAAATCTGGAAGTGTGTTCAGAGCTGGAGGCAAATAAAATAATCTCCTTCCTTCCTTTGCTTTCTCCTGGTATAGAAAGTTTCCACCTGCCCATTTTCCCTAGTTTACCCACCCTCCCCTCCAATATACAAAGACACACTCACAGCTCCACCAAAAACATCTCCCAACCTAGATGGAAAGTTCTATGATGGGTCTTTCACAAGCTGTAGCTTGAGACATGTCATAAATTCTTGCAAAAATGACAGAGGAGGGTGTTGAGAGATTATGGAGTTTAGGAAAGAATTGGAGGAGAAGTTCCTTGAGAAGATTAGATTAGAAAAATGAAAGTGTCTTGAAGATTAAAAGCCCCAGACTCATCCTTCTGACCTTCAGTTCAGACCAATGCCAAAAGTGACATGAAGGTCATTACATAATGGGCATCAAAGTAAGTATCCACCTTATAATGGCTGGACAGATGTTCTATAAACCCAAAATGCAGGGCTCTCTGTTAAAACTGGATAGGAGGCCCCAGGCCAAAGGGGCCTTCTACTCTGACCCCATCCTCCCACTCCCACCCCACCCCACCTCACCCCACCCCCGATTCACAAACTGAACAAGAGACAGGGCTGGAGAAGCTACTCTGGGGTTCTCACCCATAAGATCATCTACTCTTCCACCAAAGGAGAGTAAGAAACAAATGGGAAAATAGGCGGGGAAGTATGTCCTCCAACTTGCTCCTCTTGTGGGGTAGGGACATCTAAGAGGGAAAGCCCTCAACACGGAGTAGCCTTCTCCTCTCTCAATCCTTCGGGCTTAACAGGTGGGCCTATGATCTGCAACCAACCACATGTACATCTGGAGGGGTGGGGGGGCAAGGGGGGGGATGGGGTCAGACCAGCTGTGCATCGGAGCAGTCTCCCAATCACAGATATTTGGCCATTTGGGACCTACAAAGTGGCCACATCATATGGCCCACTGATTCTTTTTTTTTTTTTTTTTAAGATTTTATTTATTTGACAGAGAGAGAGATAGCGAGAGCAGGAACAGAAGCAGGGGGAGTGGGAGAGGGAGAAGCAGGCTTCCCGTGGAGCAGGGAGCCCAATGTGGGACTCGATCCCAGGACACTGGGACCATGACCTGAGCCAAAGGCAGACGCTTAACGACTGAGCCACCCAGGCGCCCCTGGCCCACTGATTCTTACAGCCCCTACTGTGTGGCAGGAGGAAATAAGAAATAGATTTCCAAACAGGAAATAGAGAAATACGTTTCTAGGAGCTTTATGCATATTTACTCAATCCTTGCAAAAAACAAAAAAATGTTATCCCCATTTTCAGATGAAGAAATAAAGTAACAAGTTCTCACCACTATTCTTTGTACATCCTCTTGGAATCGGTGGGGTGGCCAGATTACTTTTGCCACCCAAGGCCTCTCAGTGGGGTCCAGATAGGACAGAAATGGACTCCACAACCATTCTGTGCCCTAAAACTCGTTTCCTCTCCCCAGTCGCCTGAGTCCTGCTGCTCAGGACCGCTCATCTGCAGGTGACTAAACAAGCATGAGCTGGTACCATAAAATACCAAATAATTCAATTCCAGCAACCAAAAACTGCTCTAAGTTTGAACCTATTCCCCCTCCTAATATCAAAAGTAACAAAGAGCAAAATTTAAATACACTTTCTTTTACATTAAAATGCAAGAAAATGAAAAATCCAAAATTCTTCCCTTTCCAATGTCCTATTCTACTCATTCTTAGCTAGAAGGTCTCACTCCAAAGGAACCTGGCTTTGTCCATTTCCCTGGACATCCCTGTTCCTAAGGAATATCCACTGGCTACAAGGTCAGTTCTCCATTCCCCCCAACCGGCTCCCAGGGCTCTGGCTGGGCCTCCCCACCTGAAAAAAACTCTGTGACCTCTTGGGATGGGCTGGAGAGAGTGTCCTCTGTCTTGCTTTGGTGGAATAAGGTCAGGGTGTGAAGGGAAGGGTCGGGACACACACTCTCCCTGTAACTTCAGCTTCCCAAAGTGTGGGCACGGGTGAGGAACCTGCCCCCGCCCCCTCTCCCTGGCCTGGCGGAGCCACCTCTCCAGACCTCGAAGGGGTGACAGTAGGAGGGACTGTGGGGAGACCTCAGGTCTGGGGAGGATGAGGAGGGTGGAGAGCCCGATCTTGGGGAGTGTTCCCCCAGAGTCAGGGGCAAGGCTGTTACGCCCGGAGGCAGGGGACTAGCGTGGTCCCCCCTGACACGTAAGCAGTTCCTCCGGCAGCTGCAAAATTGACTTAATCCATCCCCAGGTAGTTCACTGGTCCCTCTTTCTCACCGTCAGAGTAACTAGGACACAGAATAATACTATGGCCCCAGCTCCACACCAACAAAACTTAGATGCTCAAGCATATTCTCAGGCCCAGTGGCAATTATGTGCCCAGAACCTAGTGCACAAAAACCTTGTGGGGGTTTTTCTGGGGGTGAGGGACCTTTAGAGAGGATTCAAGGTTCTAGAGAAAGACACTCTGGAAGGCGGGCCCTCAGCCCAGCAGCCTCCTGAGTCCCATGGAGAGGTTAATTCAGACAGTTTACCACTAGAGGGTGGGGAGCATGACTACTGCCTCTTCTCTCAAAGGGGGGTGTTTAAGACATTTCTGTCATCTTGTGGTATTTAAAAATTTTAAATAATGCTCCCAATCGTCCTAATTTAACTCGGATGTGACGAGATCTATTCCTTTCCTGCCTGAACTCGCCTTAGTGTGTGTTTCATCTTTTCAGTCACTTCTTGTGGGGGAGGAGGGTCCTGACCACAGATTCCTGGGCATGTCCCCTCAGGGCATGGGCAATACCGCCCCCAGCCCTCACCCCTGAATAACTGTGTTCCTTTGAAACTAACCTAACAATAGTCGCGGGGATCCCCACTCAACTCCCTCCCGCTCAGCCAGCCGCCGCCCACGCTGGTTTCCCGGCTCCGCGCTCCCTCTAGCGGCCTCACTACGCTTTGCATCCTTATTAAATCCCGCTCGCGCCCAGTCGTCCTCCCTGATCCAGAAATGAATAAATATTCTGCTCTGTTCTAGTTCCATCCTTAAAAAGCATTTAGATGGGGAGACTTTTCCCTTTTCTTTTAATATACCTCAGGTATGGCCTCTATGAACTCAACCTCTCTCCCAAGAAAATCTTGTCTTTT